GATCTTTATCTTCAGGACTGGACTGGCCGTGGTCCACAAGGTTTGGATCAGGGATGAACTTTGTCGTGGATGTTAGAGCTAGAAGTATTAAAAAGACAAACAAACAAAAACAAGACTCTGTAAATAATCAATCCACTTACAATCAGTGATATTTCATGCCATCACCCCAATTACCTAAAAACAGTATGCAACGTCCTGCACATTCAGCGTAAGAAACACTATACAGACCTGCACCTTTAAACAAGGACATTTTGATATTGCATCTTTAAAAGTCGGGTTTATTCAATCATTGGCCCTTAAGGGGTTAACCAAGAACATATGATGTCAAAACAGCATGGAATTGCAGAATAAAACGGTTTCAGGGCATATATATTTCTTCCAACCAGCTGATTATTTTGGGTATTCGCAGACAGATCTCACTACACAAAATTCACATCAGCTGTTAAAACAAGCCATACTCTCACGGTAGGAGAACAGGCCACATATCCTGCATAGGGCAGGTAAATAATTCTCGAAAAGCAGTTTTGGATGTCGAAACATTAGAGGCTGTTGTGTTGTCCTCTCTAAATCACCTTCATGTAAGAAAAACATTAAACCTTATAACGGTGCTACCTTTCACTTATGATATTTGTCACACAAATTTGTCGCTTGATTAGTCTGCTCCAAGAATTCTTCACGTGATGTTAGAGAGGATGAGCATAAAGCGCTATGTTACGTGTTGCTCTGGCATTCAAGGGTTAAATGGCTTTGAAGAGCTCATTATTGCTTTTATGTTAAACCACAAAGGGGTGTCACATCAAATTAAAGTCATCTTACTTAAAATGTAATAGAACTTGCTCAGCTGTGTCTTACAGCCGCACTCACAGAGAAACACCTAACAGGACTAAAAATAATGATTTCTGGAAGGTTCCCTTGTGAATGTTCCGTTTTAATGGGTGACTGTTTTTTTGGTATTGTGAAATGAAACATGCAATAATTCCTACCTAAAGCAGACAATGCCTCATTATTGTCCACATTCTCATCCTTTCCATTTACTTGGCTTTTAGACTCAGATTCCTGTAACACTGGAGATTCAGGCTGCAACTTTGTATCAATTTGTTCATGTTCAAGCTGATGATGCAAATCTTCATTCCCCACCTCAGTTACTTGGCCCAAGACCTGTTGATTTAATTGAAATGTACAAATAATTATACACTTTCAGCCAACTAAATTCGTTTTTTTTCCCTTCTTGTAAGTAATTCAGCATCAAAGAAGGTTTAAAGAGGACAGAGTAGACAAAAAGAAGGGAAAGGGACAAAAAAGCATGTGCTTTTAACCACAGATCAAGTCCTCTTTTTAAATAATAATAAAAAACAATTTCTGTCCTTAGTGAACGCATACAATCTATTTTTCTAATGCATCACCCCGTAGGATTTTTGAAGCATTACATTCAGCATTTAAGCAGAGTGAAAGCCTAATATAGGAATAAAGTATGCAGGTAGTGAAGGGGTTAACCCTAAATGTAAGTATTGTTAGAAAAAAAGAGAGAAAACACTACCTAAGAATATATATAGTTTAAAATTTAACTTTTAATAGTGAACGGAATATAGAGTGAAGATTTTACATATTGAATCTTGGTAAGTCTGCATATATACGTACATCCAGACACATAAGAATAATATGAAAAAATAAGATTTAAAAACCGAAAAACAAAGTCCGAGTATCAAAAAAGTAATTGCCAGTGTTAACTGGACTAAAAGATCCAAATTCAAATGAAAAACCGTCTACTATTGTGATACTGTTATAATTATTCGATTTAAATTCATCAGACTTTGTAAATACGAGCATCTGCTAGTGTACTTCGTGCAGAATGCTTTTTAACCAGCTTGAAATAGAAGCAGTCAATTATTGTAATGCTGTTACAATTCATCAAAATAATTATGTTATAGTTGATAACGATATTGCAACTAAGAAAGCAACTGTGACCATAGTTTGTAGAGAGTACTTAGTTGCGATCTAACCATAAACGCTCTAATAATATAACAGTACAAAGGCTCTGTCAAATTTAGCTGTTCGGCTTATAGTTGAAACGAACAGATATATGATATAACAGGATTCTATGCAGAATAGTACTTTTTAGGAGTAAACAGTTTCTTAACACCCCAGAATGAATATAGTCAGGAAGTAAAGAGATATCTGTGCCTTCGAGGGCACCTATCAGATTACATTCAGCATATTCTAATTTTTTTTCATTGTATGTTCATCAACCTTAAAGGATCACTAAAGTGCCAGGAAAACACTAATTTTCCTGGAACTATATAGTCCTTAGGTAACCCCCCACCCTCAGGGCCCCCCTCGCGCTGGGCTGAAGGGGTTAAAACCTCTTCAGTGACTTACTTTAATCCAGCGCTGGGCTCCCTCGGCGCTGGTGACCTCTCCTCCCCCTCCGACGTCAGCTCCCAAGTGGAGTCGAATGCCCATACGCGGCCAAAACGTGCGCATTCAAACCGCCCATAGGAAAGCATTTCTCGATGCTTTCCTATAGACGTTATTCGTGCTCAATACGATTTTCGCATTGAGCGTCACGGAAGCGCCGCTAGCGGCTTTCAGGAAGACAGCCACTAGAGGCTGGATTAACCCTCAATGTAAACATAGCAGTTTCTCCATATAGTGGTCCTTTAAAGTAGCGGATGATATATCTTTAGAAGATCAGGTTACTTCCAATCATACTGTGATAAGTCCATCTATTATCTAAAATTACAAGTGAGGAACTAAGTCCCACAAAGAGCAGCTTTCTGAAAAAGAGGTAACTTTTTTCATTGATCGTGTCCCCTAGACCTATGGCTCAGTCTACAGCTACAGAAATGACCTCCAGTGTAACAAATCAATACCTTTTCACCATCTTCTTGTGTTTGAGTTTTTTCTTCTTTCTTTGAACTTGTTTTCCATAAAGAACTAACTGTATCATATGTTCGGTGACTTGTTGCATAAATCTTTTTTCCTGTTAACTAAATAGGAACAAAAATAAATAAAAAGCAAGCGACCAACCAACGTTTCATGTTTGGGGGGGAAACAAAGCATATAACTAGCATATATCCTTGTATAAATACAAGCCTTCAAAGTAAATCTTGGATTGGTCTATCAGATACAAATAGTTTAGTGTAGTAATAAAATAGCTTCAGACAAAAGACTATGGAGCTATATCTGTAGCAGTAAATTTCCAATACTAATAAATATTTTTAGGAAAAAAAAAAATTGACAAAATATACTTCCAAAACAGGATAAATGGTAGTTACCTTTGCAAAAATGACAGCCTGAGTTGGATAACACACAGATACACCAAGTGCAGTGAGTCCAACGGGGTATACAATTTTCTTCAGTCTGGACCCTAAATTTAATAAATAATAGTTTTCACATGGCATGCTCCTTTTAGAATGATCCTACATCAGACACAGAGGCGTAACTAGAAACCATGGGGCTCCGGTGCGAAAATTGCCCTGGGACCCCCCCCATTTCATCATACGTCCCCACCCCAATACATGCAAACACACACACTCATTCATACAAACACACACACACACACAGACATCTAGACACACACATACAAACACACATACAGACACAAACACATACATACATACATACATAAAGACACACACACGCACATACTTACAGACACACATACACTAACACGCAAAATGTTTAAGTCACCCTACTGTTTCCTACGTTTTAGGTGCAGGAGGGTGCCTTTCCCAGAGGTGCAGTGGCTCAGGCTGATGGGAGTCAGAGTTCCCACTATGACTCCCTCCTTTCCATCACTTCCTCCCTGCTCTGAAGTCATCACAGGGGGCCCGGTCATGCTGTCAAAGCACCGCAGTGCTGACCGGGCCTCCTGGATATTCATTTCCATCGGGGGCCCTAACAGCATGTGCCACCCAATGGGCCCTGGCGGTTACACCGCGCCGACCGGAACACATGGCGGCGGGCACGGTAATTCTGCCACTGATTAGACATATTCAATTAGATGGTAACATACCTTTCCTGGCCAAAACCAAGCCAGCCAATCCACTGACAGCGATTACACCCACTCTTGAAAGGAATTCTGGTGGTGGGTTCTTCAGGTAAACATAACTATCTGAAAGATTAAACAAGTCACACATTATTATATGGGAATCATTGGAACAACCTCGTAGTTTTGCCGAGAACTTCAACTTGATTCAGAACACTCACCTTTTCCGAACTCTATGGTATCTTGAACTCCGAGTTTGATAGATGAATAGACATGCTGTACAAACAGTAATGAATCCATTAGTTTTACAAAATAATTACTGCAAAAGCAGTCTATTCACAATCCACACTCTAGTGCCAACTGAGCATGTAAACAGATGTAGAATAAAGGTAATTTAATGCACCTTCAGTTTGAGTTAGAGGATTATTCACTAGAGTACGGAAAGTATTGTAAGAGTTTTCAGTAAATCAAAGTGTATTTAAATGATTTGCACAAATTTTTTTTTTCAGTTTGGCACACAATGTTAAATTCACTTTGCATTACGCTTGTTTGAGCAGGGCCCCTAACACCCTCTGCATCTACCTCATCTTGTTTCAAATACTTGTCTGTTAGTCCACCCTTTGTACAGCGCTGTGGAATATGTTGGCACTTTATAATTAATAATAATTGTGACAATTCACACTATAGCAACTTTAAATTCCATCAAGCTTCTTAGGGACCACAAATAAATGAAAAACGTTTGTATATTTTACTCGAAATTTTTTTAAGATATGAGCAATGCTGGCAACAAAGTTGAAACTTTTTTTGTAAGTTGATTCTCAAAGTATCCTCTGTGTATCTAGATATTCTCTTCTCTCACCACTAGAGGTCATTAAATAGCCAGTTTTGTAATTGCCTTGCAGTATCTAAAAT